AGATGGCATCCAGCTGCTCGTGCGGCTCCCGTGGATTGGGGATGGTGGTGGCAGGTAGAGTCCCCGGGACCAGGGCAGTAAGTTGGCGCGCTAGGGCACCGACTTGGTGCTGTAAATCTTGCATAATAGCACCCTGATTCCTCTGTCCGGCCTCCAGAGAAGCTATGCTCTGGTCCACCCTCGTGAAATTCGCCTGGCTGGTGGTCATGAATGCCGCCAAAATATTCTTCAGATCGGTCATCTGGTTATCGGGAGCTGGGGCTGCTGGTGGCTCGGCATACTGTCGCTGGGACTGCTGAAATGGCTGCCCCTGCCTAGGCTGGTAGGGCTGCTGCTGTGGTGGTGGCCCCTGCCTAGCCTGGAAGGGCTGCCTCTGCTGAAAACCACCCGCTGGTGCTGGGAAACCGGGTGGTTTAGTGGTGTTGCTGCTCCAGGCAAAGTTGGGATGCTGGCGCCATCCCTCATTGTAGGTATTGCTGTACGGGTCCAGGCGCCGAGCATTGGCGATGAAGTCCACCTGCTCTTGGGGAATAGATGACTCCCTCATAGACTGACAATCCTCCACCAGGTGGTTCGGGCTCTCACACCACTGGCACTGAGCTACTGGAGGCGTAGCTACACCTCGGCCCGGAAGGAGGCTGTTGGGCTGCTTCAATGTCTCCACCAACTCAGCCACCTGCTGCTCTAACCCGGACCTGGCCTCCACAACGTGCACACCACGGTCCCGGGAATGTCTGCCTCTGCTGCTCTGCACCCAGGAATGATCGCGGGCAGCCAAGGTACTGATCATCTGGTTCAGCTCTGGTGTAGTCTTAGTGAGAATATCCCCTCCTGGGCATAGAGACTCGATCACCCTCTGGCTGTCTGGGGTGAGGGCACTGTAGAAGTTCCCCACTGTGAAAGCATCACTGAAGCCATGATGGGGACACTGCCAGAAATATCCCATGTACCGCTCCCATGCATCACGAAGTGACTCATCTGGCTCTTGGCGGAAGTGAGTGATCTCCCGCTGAATCTCTTTTGTCTTCGATGCCGGATAGTACCTGTGCACGAACTTATCTGCCAGATCGTCCCAAGAAGTGATGGACAATGGGGGCTGGGTCTCCAACCACCTCTTAGCATTCCCCGCCAGAGAATGGGGGAAGAGGTGAAGGCGGATTGCGTCATCCGAAACACCGTTCAGCTTGAACCCGTTTGTCAGCTGCAGAAAACGGGAAAGATGAGCCCGGGCCACCTCATCCTTCAAGCCATGGAACTGGATAGAGGATGTAATGAGTTGAATCCAGCAAGGCTTGATCTCGAAGTTGTTTGCTGGAATTGGCGGATAGAGGATGACCGGGCGGATGTCAGCAATCCGCGGAGTGTAGTAGTACTCCAAGGTGGGACCCGATGGTGGTGGATGATGATGGACCCCAGCTGCCTGGGGATTGGGGTCGTTCCCTAGGAACTGGTTCTCCGGAGGTGGGTTGTGATCGCCTTCCATCTCGTACTCGTCCTCGGACTCGCTGCTCAATTGGCCGTCTCTGCGCTCTTCCGTAGCCAGTCTAGCTCGCTGTTGTCTCCTAAGTTGGCGACTGGTGCGTTCAATCTCTGGATCCAACGGCAGTAAACCTCCTGACTGGCTACGGGTCATGCACTATCTGCACACAATCAAGCAATGCAAACCCGTGAAGGCACAAGTGGGAAAGAAGAAACACTCAATGCGAAAATGAAAATGCTAAAGTAACAGAAATCACTTTTCTTCAACAATCTAGCCGTCCCCGGCAACGGCGCCAAAAACTTGACTCACTCCTACTGTCACTCTAGAAAATGGCCAAGTGTAACCACTTCCTAAAGCGTAGTATAGCGGGTTTGGGTTTTATTGTCAACCCGGGTCCTAGATGTGATGACTACTCGGTGAAATCTCGTTATCTAGCAGTGAACTTTTAGTGCAAATTCAAGCAAACACAAACACAAAGCAAGTTTAACGGTTGTTCAAGTCAAGAGAGGTCACCCGGATATGGTTCCCCCTAGACTGCAGTTAAGCCGGATTGTAATTACCAAGTTCAATTTCTATGATAATTATACTGCGGAAGGTTCTCAATCAGTCTGAATTCTCGACTAAAGGTCTTCAGACCCTCTCAATCTGAGTCTCTAGCGGGCGACTAACCTCCACCGGAGTAAACAGATTGAGGCCCTAACGAACCAAACCTCCACTACCGAATGGAATTCGGTACAGAATAGCGAATTGGCTCCTCGACTAAAGTCACCAATTCGCTACCTTCAATTAAGGATGCTCTATCAACCTAGGCAGATATTCTCATTCTAGGTTAAAGCAGAAACAACAGGAATTTGATCAGGATTCATGCCATTCAATCATTCAAACCTCAATCGAATATAATCAAATCATAGAAACAGTACTTGGGTTCATACAATCAATCCTAACATACAGATCTAGGGTTTCCCACACCCAGATGAATGGGAGAACTACTCCATGGAGAAAGAAGCAAAAGCAGAATCAGATGCGGAAACCATACTGTGAAGGATGGATTTCAGCTCCAGGACGTTGATCGGCACTCTTCCAAGCTCAAGCCAAGCTCCAATGGTGATGAAGATCAAGCTAGGGCACTTGGAGACTCTTGTTCGTCGCTTTCTCTCCCTGTGAATCGTTCTGTCTCTCTAAAAACTCGAAATTCCCATCTTTTGGCTGAAAATCTGCCTAAAAAACCAGAATTTCCCGACTCACACGGGCAGGCCACACGGCCGTGTGGCTCACCACTTTGCCCGTGTGAGTCAAAACGCGCCGTATCACTTAGGTCGATCTTCAGCCATCCCACACGGCCAGGGTCGCACGGCCGTGTGGATTTCCTGGGATGCCCGTGTTTGGCCTCGGCAAAAATCACACGGCCACCTTGCTCTCTTGCACGGCCGTGTGAAAGTTACTTGTGCCCGTGTTTGCTCTCGCACAATCCCACACGGCCTGGTTTGTCAGTTGCACGGCCGTGTGGTCTTTATGTGTGCCCGTGCAGCTTCCTTAGAACCTCGCCATGCGTCCGATCCTCGTCCAATCGACCCCAAACTCGCTCCCAAGCCTCCATTCACGTACTAGGACCTGAAATATCATAAACAAGCACAACCTAGCGTGAAATCGGCCTAAAACACGAGAATCAACACCTCAAACAGTGTAAGAACAGGGGTAAAAACATGTGTAAATAACGGTCTATCACCTTACCTAGCATGGAGTAGTCTCTCCTTTCACTTGGGTGTGTGTAAACCCTAGCTACAATGATGTGTATGTTTGTTTTGATTGAAGGATTAGTGTGTGGGTGTGATTTAATACAAATTTATGAGGTATTTTCATTTAAATTATAGATCGTAGTGTTCACCAAAAACCAATCGCTAGATAATGTTTCAAACAATCGAAGTAGAGGTAGATGGACCGGCCCATGGTTGACATTTAAACATACTTGCCCTATATTTCACCCAACTAAGGTTTATACTTGGGCCTTAATTGGGAGTCACACTCAAATTGTTACAGAGAAAAAATATCCATTTTATTTTGACAGCATGAACACACCGTACATCTTTAACCCAAGTCCGTCTTCATCTTGTCTAGTCGTCTTCATATATTCTTTAGGAGGAAACTTCGTGCCGTCGAAATAAATGCGTGGGTTTTTTCTATTTCGGTACATGTATTTTGAGTGAATTTTTTAGTATGGAGTGAATAATTGTTGATGTGTCAAGGTAAAAAAAATATTATCATTATGCCACGTTACATAATCTCATCCTCATCACAATTTTTGTTAGCCACATCAACATATTTTATTGTAAAATTAACAAATGATTGTATTTGGCTGTTTGTGTCCATTTTTCTTGAATGGTTGACTATTTTTAGATATTAATCAAAAGGCTTAGTAGCATTTTGTACCACTATGTTAAATTAACAAATGTACCTTTCTACTAAATTTTTGAACAAACATACCCTTCTAATATTAAAACGTAACGAACATACCCTTTCACCTAATTATCTGTGAACTAGCCATTAAAAGGAATGTTAAATGACCCAAGTGTCCCTACTAAACACACAAATTTTCGATTTTAATTATTTTTGTCCCAAATTAATTAATTAAAATACCAAATCCCTAAACTATCGTCCGTCTTCCCTGAAGAGTCCGCTAGACCTTGACTCCGCGATGGTGCCTCCCGACATCTCCTTGCCGACGGCTAGTGTAGAAAGACTAGTCCATAGGCGAGAAAAATGGTAGAAAGAAGAAAGCATCAGGGATATCAGTTAAGCTGGCCGTTTTGTCTCGGGGTTCGTCCTTACGGGATTCCCTTCCTTCACTTAGTCTCCTCGTCGTCGTTACGGTTGCTGTCGTGGCCAATGACTTTTATCCCCGTCACTTAACAGATATTTAAACAAAAGAATAGATTAGTTACGTTTTAATATTAGAAGGATATGTTTGTGAAAAAAATTAGTAAATGGGTGTGTTTGTTAATTTAACAAGGGATATATAAAACCCTAAACAAAATTAAGAATCTGAAATTTAAAATTTGGAGTTTATCACCGAAGTAGAAAATCAACGGTCGACTTAGTCTTGTATTCAGTTCACTGTTACATGTTCAGAGATACCTCACTCTCCTCCAGTCTCTCGCTCTTCAATCTCAGTCCCAGTCACTCACATTCAAACAACCCTTAGAAAAGCTCCGCTTTCTCATCCCTCTTTCGTTCGCAGAGACAGAAGAGAAATAGAAGATAAAAAATGGTGACGAAGCAATCAAAATACGAGCAAATTCAGCTCAGTAGAATGGAATAGAACAAGAAACGAATGGAAGCCCTCAATCTCCTTATGCTCTCTCGATCCTTCCACACCTCCTCTCCCAACCCTTCTCCAGTACCATTTCCCAACATTCTCCCCTTTTTATTTCCAGGTCGCCTCCTTTTTATCTGTATTTCCCCCCTACAGTGAATGGCTTTTACTCATTAGGTTTTCTTTCATATGTAACATAATGCGGTACAGATGAAGCAGTCGAAGCCTCGGCCTCGTGTGGTGACGAAGCAAGTGGTGGTTGTTAGGAGATCCAGTCGTGTCGCAAACAAATCTTCTCTTGTTTATGCTGAAGTGAGTAAAACCTTTTTTGCCTCATTAATGTCTTCTATCTAATTTTTGTAACCTAGTTCTACCTACTTCTACTACTGGGTTTAGGCCACTTGATTCAATTCAAGGCGTGTAAGAGGGTTTTAGTTGCTGTTATGTGGCAGAATTGTAACTTTTGTGAATGATTGATTGATGTGTTTCTTTTCCTTGGGCAGGTGATTGTGGACCGAGTGATGATGCCAAGAACGTACATTTTTTTATCCCCACTTGAAATTTCTTGGAGCCTAACTCTATGTCAAATGAATGTTCATATGGAGTTACAGTGATTAGTAGGAATGTATCTTTTGATTGTAGGGTGTCAAATGGACGGTCAAGGGACCTATCGAACAAGGTGTATGCAAGTGATGAAGCAAGGGCTTAAGCTTTGAGAAGGCAGAGAATCTGCATACTGGTTTAGAAAACCATTACCCTTCTTTTGTCAACTCCATGCTTATATCCCACGTTACTGGTGGGTTCTAGCTGGTGAGTTTAATCTCCTTCCATACCTAGAAATCTTTGACTTTCCCCCCTTCCCAACTGCTCTTCAATACACATTTCATCCTTCAACTACGTGCTTACAGCCGAAATTTTCTTCCGAACCCATGTGAGATAGCCTAGTATATGATAGAGAGAGGTTGTGACTTGTTTGTCTCTCTTAAGTCGGCAACCAAAATCACTTCCTAAAAATTTGAGTTATTGGGGTGAACGGATTCTTGATGATTTTAGTTACCTTTAGTTAAAAAGGACAACAAGTTTATAACTATGCTTGATAATTTGAACTGATAAACATCACAGAGAGTTCTCGAAAGACTTCTGCAAGAAGAACCTTCCAAAGGGTGACGATGTGGTGACTCTAAGAGATGAGGAAGGAGATGAGTACTCGACGATATATATCTTCCAGGGAAGACGAGACTGAGTGGTGGATGGAAAGGGTTTGCAGTTGCTCACAACTTAGCAGATGGGGATGCTTTAATTTTCTAATTGATCAGGCCTACAACATTCAAGGTTGCACCCATTTTACTGTCCACCCCCCACTAATTAATATAATAATAATATATTAAAGTCTAAGTTGTGAGTTACTAGTCATTAGTGGCTCTCACACTCCTCCAAGTGCAAGTGAGAAAGTTCCAAATCCTTCTTTTACCCTACTCTCCATTAGGGATGGCAGTCAAACCCGGATCCATGAGTACCCGACCCGACCCAACCCGGTCAACGCGGGTAAAACCCGTGTTGACCGGATTTGGACCGGGTTCGGGTTTAAACCCGGTGTCCTATTGAACGGGTTGGGGCGGGTTCGAGTTTGGGGGAACCCGGCCCGTGGATACCCGGCCTCACGTCAACAACGAAGCAGCTAGCGCAAGGCCAACTCTCACAACGTACAAAGCCAAGATTGGATTGTCGGAAAAAAGCTAGCTAGTCACCGGCTAGCAGGTACTGCAGTTGACTCAATCCACTATTGAGCGTAGCAGCTTCTCGATCGATTCATTTTCCCCCCAAAAGCCTTCACCATCCTTATCAATTTTATAATTAATTTGAATGTCATTTTGAATGTCATTTTGAGTCTGAATGTCATTTTGAGTCTGTTTCCACTTTCCAGAGTAGTGTTTTCTTCTCGTTTTCTTCTCATGTTTACAGCCATTGAAAAAAGAAAACCCCTAGCATAGCCATTTACTATACACCAAGACTGCTTTTACTGCACATACAGACTCATAAACACTGTTACAACTCGGATAGCGCTTGAGTGTGGACGGGTGCAGGTGAGCGCTGGTTGGATCTCAAGGGAATCGTTGCGTCTGGACTTCTGGTTGGGGGCGATATTGACCGCTTGCGGGCCCTCTCATTACCCCATCACTAGCATTGATCACACGGCATCTGCTTTCCCCTTTCAGAATCGAAAAGGCCGCTGTTACCTTTTACTGCTTTTATCGAGAAACTCTGTCCACTTATTAGAGAGAGGTTGAGGTAGCTGGTAAGAGGAACAGAGATATTTGAGGTCACTTGGTGATTTTATGGGCCACGTCGTCTTTTATTTTAATCCTCTCATTTAACCTACCCGGCACAGCCACCGATGTTTTATTTTCTCTCTCTGTGGAAACTGAAATGAGGTCGGCTGAAGTCAGAGAGATAACAAAGGCAAGCGATCTTGCTGTCTCACTCTCCCTCTTCAGTCTTCACTCACTTCTCTCTACTCCGCCGCTTCGAATCCGCTTCTCCGACAGTGAGGAACGTTTGGAACTTAGCCAGCGACGACCACCACCGAAATCCGTTCAACCCCATCAATCTTCTTTACTTTAGGGCGTTCTCCGGATCGGAGGCAGCAACAATGGCCTCTAAAGCCATATCTCGGGAACCTTCTCTGATGGAGATCAAGATTTGGAACTTCCAACTAACTCAAGTAAGTATATAGAGGTTTCATCTATCGGTTATGCTTTCTTTCATTGATTTAACCATGTTTCTCTCCTTTCTCGCCTATTCTCTCTTTGTTCATTTCATTATTTGTCGCTTTCTCTCTGGTGACAACAATTTTTTTTGTATTTGGTGCACCTGCCAGTCAAACTCGACAGTCGCTTTCTCTCTGCTGCGTTCCTGGTCTTCCTTTTATGCTCGATCTGGGTTAGACCTTCTAGACGAAACCCATGTAGCATAAGTTTCGTAGCAGTTTTCAGGAATCCGTTTGCCTCCAAGGAACCCGAAGGCAAGTCGTCTCGAATTGTTCTTCTTAGCTTTGTCTCAAGTATTTCACGTTTATCTTCTCTTCTTCTCAGATCTGCAGGCCAGCGCGGATCATTGGGGGTTTCAGACAGAGCAACTTTACCGGTGATTGTGGTGCCGCAGCATGTGTGAGACGGAGAAACCAAATTAGCCAAATTTTAAAACCAAGGTTTGTATTTACGGTGGTTTTGTGGTTGTATTACAGTAGCTTCTCTTCTTCCTCACATCAAGCCTTTATTGACCAAAACTCACAAGGATGTTTCGCAATGAAAGGAACCAATCAAAAGTAGTCCACCATAATCCTGTCTCGCCCCAAGCAACCATACTATTACTTCTTTATCGACTGGAAACTGTGATTCATGGATGAAGGACTCTGAAAAGTTGATACCAGAAGATAAATGTATGCTGCGCAATAGGGGAATCAAGAATCTACTGATGGTGGAGTTAATATACCTTATCGTCCCTGCCCTCAAGATCATTTGTCTGTCTCCTTTCATTCTATGATGGTTTGCACATGCTTCACACTTGCAGCAGATTTTGATATGGTGCGCCTCTGGAGTAGAAATTGCAATGGTTATTGTATTTCATGTACTCAAGGCTTAGATACAGGAAGCTGTTTCACAATCTCTGTTTTGTGTGAGATGTTTAGACTTAAGTGAATTTAGATGATGATTAATTCAATCGTCCAAGGATTTCTCATTCAATATCATTTTGAGTTCATTTACTCTAGGCAGTTCAACGTTTCAACAGTTTAAGATTATTGAAATCATATGAAGATTGAATCAAACTGCTGTTATGGTTCTGCTTTTCTTCTCATAATGCAGTTCTGATGCTTATAGTATAGGCCATCATTAATTAAGTTCGCTTTCCATCTCTTTAATTTTTGGTGGCTTATTGTTGTTTGCAGATGGAAAGGATGTGTGGCGCTAGAGGCAGGGGGAGGCCATGTTACTTACCACTTACAAGTGACAAATGGCAAGTCCAGCCGATATCCAATAACAAGACAGATTATTTGATCAGTTCCCCAAATGTGTTGTGCTTTCACTTATATTTGTATCCTTTAGCTATAAAATTAAGTTGTGCTTGCTTACTATATCAAGTCTGAAAAATAACCTTATTATTATGTTTTGAAAGTACTCATTGTGCAGTTTAGTTGGCTCATATTTTGCATATTTCCTGCAGACCACTCTTTATCTACTATTGTGTATTTTGGTGCCATAAAATAAGTATGTCTTATTGATCCCACCTCCCGGCGCGGAGCGCGGGCATGAAAACTAGTATATATATATATACTTATTAACCAGACTGTTCACGTTAGGTTTCATTATATATATGAATGATTTATATTGATAATTTATGATTTGCTTGAATTTTCTTTAATAGTGTTTTATGTATGGATTTATATATTAAAAAATTGATGTTTGACTTATCACTCGTCTTTATTTTTTTGGTATGTCGCTCCGCGAGCAAGGAGTGATAGAAGTAGGTGTTTTTTATAAGAACTTGATGTTGTAAAATTTTTTATCAAAAAATCCATGGGTACCCATGAACCCGCGGATACCCGGCAGGTTGGGTTGGGTTTGATTTTTTCAAACCTGGTGGGTTTTACCCCGGGTTTTTTTTACAGATAAACACATGGGTTTGGGTTCAGCAAAACCCGACCCAACCCGACCCATTGCTATCCCTACTCTCCATTCTACAACTTTTGTGTTTTATTTATTTTTCGCTAGGTTTTCATCTATGACTTTTTGCACAAATCATCACTTTTGTGTTTTGTTATTGTTCTCTATGTTTTCGTATATGATTAATTAATAAAAGCCTATGTTGTGAGTTATTATTCATTAGTGGCTCTCACACTCCTCCAAGTGCAAGTGGGGAAGTTTCAAATCCTTCTTTTACCCCACTCTCCAATCTACAACCTTTGTGTTTAGTTATTGTTCGCTAGGTTTTCGTCTATGACTTTTTGCACAAATAATCGCTTTTGTGTTTTGTTATTGTTCTCTATGTTTTCGTATATGATTAATTAATTAAAATATAAGAGCCTAAGTTGTAAGTTACTATTCATTAGTGGCTCTCACACTCCTCCAAGTGCAAGTGGGGAAGTTCCAAATCCTTCTTTTACCCCACTCTCCATTCTACAACCTTTGTGTTTAGTTATTGTTCGCTAGGTTTTCGTCTATGAATTTTTGAACAAATCAACGCTTTTGTGTTTTGTTATTGTTCTCTATGTTTTCATATCTAATTTTTTGCACAAATCATCGCTTTTGTGTTTAATTTTTGTTCGCTAGGTTTTCGTCTATGACTTTTTGCACAAATCATCGCCTTTGCCCACCATTTTGCAACCCATCTCAAAATATTGTCGGCAAAATCCTACGTTGTTCCCCCAACACCGTTTCTCAAGGCCGCTACCACGAGTTTTGTATCGGGACCGAGTTAGTTTGTATCGGGACCGAGTTTCATCCTCTTTAGTGTTTTTTTTCCCCTTTTTTGTTGAGCATGTTCACAATTGAACCCAAACACATGGGTATCCTAACTTGAACATAAATCATCGCCTTTGCCCACCATTTTGCAATCCATCTCGAAATACTGTCGGCGGAATCCTAAGTTGTTCCCCACCATTGTTTCCAAAGGCCGCTGACACGAGTTTTGTATCGGGACCGAGTTTCACCCTCTTTAGTGTTTTGTTATTGTTCGTTAGGTTTTCGTCAATAGCTTAGTGCACAAATCATCACCTTTGTGTTTAGTTATCGTTACCTAGGTTTTCTTCTATGACTTTTTGTACAAATCATCGCCTTTGTGCACCATTTTGCAGCTCATCTCGAAATACTGCCGGTGGAATCCTAAATTGTTCTCCACCATTTTTCCCAAGGTCTCTACCACGAATTATTTATCGGGACCGATTTTTTTCCTCTTTAGTGTTTTTTCTTTCTCTTTTTCCTTTTTGTTGAGCATGATCACAATTGAACCCAATGCCGCTACCGAAAGTCCATACCGTATCTACTCAATATTGACGAGTTTTGTATCAGGACCGAGTTTCGTTCTCTTTAGTATTTTTTCTTTCACTTTTTCCTTTTCGTTGAGCATGATCACAATTGAACCCAAATTCATGGGTATCCAACCTAATTCGATCCAGTCAAAGTGACTTAAAATCGACTTTAGCATTTATAAATTTCTCTTTTTTTCTTCTTTTGGTTGGGAAGACAA